GGGACCAGAGATGCAGGGAGGAAGGCAGAGTGGGAGGGGAATGGATGAAGAAAGAGGAGCTAAGAGCATGGACCCACTCCCCACATAAGTGCAACCATTGTGGGCTGCGGTCATTACTAACACAGCATTTTTCAATGTTCAAGAAAAGCACCTATTTTTTGGTTCCAAGGATCAAACTCATGACCTTGTGCTTACCAGGCAGGCACTTGTACCACTGAGCTAAACCCACAGCCCTATAAATTTTTTTAAAATAAGAGTAAAGGACTTAAACTATCTATTTTTCTTTGCATTTTCAATCAATCACCTATCATGCTAGAAATTTTTTTCTTAAAATGCGGTGTTGGAATGACAGGGACCCTGTGCTTCTCACTGTTGCTGGAGGGACAAGGTTCAAGGCCAGCTTCCCAGCAGCACGTCTGGCCACATACATGAGGGTAACAAAACTTTGTTTTGTGAACATCTGGATTACAAGAAAAACAAAAGCTTGTCACTGCGCACAGCCTGTCCCCTCTTTTCTTTCTCTTTTTTTTTTTGACGGGGGGAGTTCTGGGGATTGAACTCATGACATTGCACTCACCAAGCAGACACTTATGTCACTGGGCTGAACCCCAGCACTCTCCTCCTTTCCAGCCCCTTGTCCTGCACTCACAAGCAGCCACTTGTGCAAGATTGGGCCAGTCTTATCCAAATAAGCAGACTGTTTAACCTTATCTGAGTGTCATCTGACTCTCAAAACACCCCAGAGAGAAGCAGGACTACTTTGGTCTCTGCTCCTGTCTGAGAATCTGGGCAGAGCTCTCCAGGGTCAAATTCCTCATCTGAGGTCACCAATAAATTATGGCAGAGAAGCAACCAAAAGCCACTCACTTTAGAGCAATAAATTTCAAAATGTCTTGTTTTTTTGAGTCAGGACCTCAGAATGTACTCTAGTCTAATCTAGAAATTGCCCTGTCACACAGGCTGTCCCTGAGCTTGTGTTCACCTGTCTCAGCCTGCTGTGTGCTAGAATGACAGCTATGCATTTCACACTGGTTGAAAACATACTTCTTTAAACAAAATATGCAAGATCTGTGATCTAAGATACTGAACATACCTAGATGACTGCCTGTGAGTAACCGTAAAACCAGAGATTAAAAAGTGTCAGGGGGGGCTGGGGATTTAGTTCAGTGGCATAAGCGCCTGCCTTGCAAGCAGGCAGTTGTGAGTTCGATCCCTGGTACCGATAAAAAGGAAAAAGGCAAAAAAAAAAAAAAAAAAAAAAAAAACTGTCAGTGAAGACCAAGGAAAAGGGATCCTCACACTTTGTTGCTGGGAATATAAAACTGCAGAGTCACTTTGGAAACCACACTGGCAGATCCTCATTATAAACACAGTCATGCCACAGCCCCAAAATTCTACCTTAGGTTTATATCCAAACTGAAGACATATTTTCTACACAAAACCTGAATATGAATTTGAGCCTATTATCAGCAGCATTACTGACAACAGCCCCAAAGTGGAAACAACCCAAACAAATCTTCAGCAATTCATAAAATGTTTCATTAAAAATGCTATACTACCATGAGTAGGCGTGCAGTGTTACTAGGTGTCATAGTGCGAGCCTAGAGTGCCAGACATTTGGGAAGCTGAGGAAGGGGTTGACCTAAGGCAGGACTCCATCTCAAAATAAAAGTTAAACAGGGCTGTTATGGATTTAAAACGAGTGGTCAGCTTAACACCAGCTGAATTAAATCAGCGTGGTGCTGAGTGCAGATGGCCACCTGAGAAAAAAAGAGCACAGCACTGTGAGCTCTCCTGTGCTGCAGTTGGGAGCAATTGTTCTCCTGGAGGAGCCTGTCATGCAGGCTTCCCCATATGAATCCAGCCACAGTCAGCAGGGGAGCTTGGGACCTTGTCACTGAGAGTGGCTGCGGTTCAGTTTGGGGGAGCTCTGGACCCTACACTGTGCATCACTGCCTGGGTCCAGAGGGGAAGATGTGTGTTTAATCTCCAGGAGAGCTGGCTTTCTGATATGAACTCAACTGTTCTCATCATCAGAGGACCTAAGGACCTCATTGTCACTGAGGAGGACTGGGGTGCTTCTGGGGGAGCCCTGGTCCTTGTTTTAAGCATTGCTTCTTAACTCACATGTAGAACCCTCAGCTTACTGGCACAGATCCTTCACGGCACTGGCATAGTTTCTGACTTCCACTGCTGACCTTGGGAGCTTCCTGGTGTAGATCCATGAAACAGACTTCCATGAGACACTGTCATGGGCTCTAGGTCTTCAGCTGGACACATTCAGGATACTGCCATGGGATTCCAGGCCTTGGCTCGATTTTCTAGGTATTTAGTGTTTTGGACAGATTCCTGGCCCTTTCTTGTATTTAATTCTGGGTGACCATCATGAAATAATATAAATTCTGTGTCCTGTATGTAATCGTTCTCCTTGCAATCCCTGACTACAAGGGCTGGGGGCCAGGTTGGTGATACATGCTTGTAATCCCAGTAATGAGGGAGGACAAAGCAAGAAGACCACAAGTTCCAGGCCTACCACAGATATTTAGCAAGGCCATGTCTCAAAAAATAAAAGGGAAAAATATTGGGATACTATTTAATAGTCGAGTGTCCTTAGATTAAATCCCCAGTATTGTCAAAAATATTTTTGGAGCCAGTTGTGGTGGCACATGCCAGTAATACCGGCATACAGGAGGCTGAGGCAGGAAGATCATTGCAAGTTTGAGACCACCTTGGACTACAAAGTGAACTCAAGGCCAGCCTGATCTGCAGAGTGAGACCCTTTCTCAAAAAGAAAAAACAATTTTTTTTCTGAAGAAGGAATGTAGTACTCACTCATGCCCTGAGACACATGAATCTTGAGAAGAGTTTACCATTGAAGAAGCCAGACACAAAAGACCTACTCTATGAGCAATTGATATGAAATGTTTAGTGATCAAATCCATAGAGACACAAAGTAAAATAACAGCTTCTAAGAGGTGGAGGTTAGGAGGGGCTGGCATATCTTCCAGTGTAAAGAAAATGCTTTGCAATGCTCAAGGTCATGATGTACAGTTCAGTAACCATATTTAAAAAATGGTCAAAATTATACTATAAATCTACTGTGATAACAGAGCATGGTATTGACTAAAAACAGACCTGAAGATTAATGGAACAGATTAGAAGAAACCAAAACAGAGAGACTAAGCCAACTTATCATTTAGAAATGGACCAAACTCATTCACTGGAAGAAAGACAGCCTCCTTAATAAAATAAAAGGTGCTGGAAAAACTGGCTCAGCACATGCTGAAGATTAAAAATGGACCCATGTCTTTCACTGTGCACTAAGCTAAAACCAGAGTAGATCAAAGATCTTAATATTAAAACAGAAACATTAAATCTGCTGGTAGACAAAGTAAGTAAAAGCCTTAAACACAGTGGTGCGGGTAGACTTTATGAACAAAACAACAATTGCACAGGAACTACCAAAAAGAATCAACAACTGGGATCTCATTCTATTACAAAGTTTTTGCACAGCAGGAGAAACCACCAACAGAGTGAAGAGATTTTCTCCCATGATATGGGAGAAAATGCTTGCCAGGTATAGCTCAAAGGATGACCACTGAGAACATAGAACAACAACAACAAAAAAATCCATCCTCCTATATGTAAAGACCCAATCCAAGAATAGGGATCTGAGATGAATACACACTTCTCAGGTGAAGAAATAGAAACAACAAATAAATATATATATGATGAAATGTTCAACATCATGAGTCATTTCAGACATATAAATTAAAAAAACACTGTGATTCCACCTCACCCCAGAAATAATGGCTATTATCAAGAAATCAAGCAATGACAAATGCTGGAGGGGTGGTGGGGAAAAAGGAACCCTTCTCCACTGTTGGTGGGAATGCAGACTGGCACAACCACTGTGAAAATCAGTGTGGAGAATCCTCAAAAAATTAGGACTACAGGTACCACTGGACCCAGCTATTCCCCTTCTGAGTATCTTTCCAAAAGAATTAAAAACATCATATCACATTGATATATGTGCACCCATGTTTACAGCAGCACAATTTGTAATAGCTAGAACTTGGACACAATCTAAATGCTCACTGACTGAGGAATGGATAAAAAAAGTTGTGGTGCTTTTACACACTGAGTACTACTCAGACATAAAGAAGAATAAACTGGAGCTTTTTAAAGGTAAATGGATGTAATTTGAGGCCACACTCCTAAGTAAAATAAATTAAGACTCATATGTAAACACTGCATACACTGTATTGTCTCACTACTGTGAGCTGAAAAAAACAACATCTATATGTGTGTGTGTGTGTGTGTGTGTGTAGTTAAGATACTTACAGTACTGATTTCTCTGAGCGCATTAAAGAGAAAGATCTGTGCTGGCATTGTTTGGACAATTGAATGTAGATATCTTGTGCTCTAGGTTAATGAATTGGGGATCACAATGCACAATATATGTCCATTGTTCCCCTGATTGATGCATTTTGAATTTTTTTCTCTTTAAAATAAAATGGATTAAAAATAAAATAAATTGAATTTTTAAAAAAGTAACCAGTGTGTATTTTCGAATGGAAAATGTTGAACATGTTATGCTGTATGAATTATTTCCCATCCCCAAAATTATTTCACTCCAGAAATAAAAAGCCATTCAGACAGAGGCCCTAGACCCATGCTTATGCTTTATCAGAACCTCAACATCTCTGAAACTCCCCCAGCCTGTATTCATGGTGGACAACTGAATCCTCCCCTTACTCAATCATGGCCTTGCAGTGAAGGAAGGTTCCTAACCCAACTCCAGTCCCTAGTGCAGAGCATGCAACATTTCAAGCTGCTGTACTGCTAATTTCCAGGGATGATGATCCAGTAGAGAGGCCTGGATAAATTTCTGGCCAGGTGCATGCTGAGCTGCTAGCAGCAAGGCTCACACAAGTGGGACACACAGGTCAGACCCATGCCGGTACAGAGCTGCTACAGGACGGCAGCTGGCAACTCACCTCTCCCCACCTCTGGCTTCTCTTTTATGGATGGAAACCCTGGTTTTCACAAGTGGACTATGCAACCTGGAAAACAGGAAATACAAGCCTTTATCTGATGAATGCAAACCATCCTGCTCTTCATTCACAAACATGCAATTCATTCACTCAGCATCTGGTAGGACAGTACAGAAAACACTAATTTCCTATATTTTTGGAGTTCACACTATGGTTAGGGAGATAAACTATAAACAAGATGATATAATATTGTGTTCAGTTTTACAAATGAAATAAAAGGTGGCGTAACAGTGAGAGACAAGATGCCATGGCATAAGTGTCTGCCTGGCAAGTACAAGGCTGTGAGTTCAATTCCCAGTACCCAAAAATAAATAAATAAATAAAGTATGAGAGACAGAGGCTGGAAGAGGCAGAGAATATTTTTATTAAGGGCTGTCAGGCTTTTTCAAGGCAACACAACAGAAATGATTAGATAGGGATCAAGCTAGAGAGAACAGCATTTCCTACAGTAGAGGGAGCTATGATCCCAGGCAACTGACATGGAAATGCATACTCTCCTGAGAGCAGGGTCCCTAAATACAATGAGCACACAGCAGTGGCCATGGACGTGCCAAAGGCAGAAGGTGGCAACACTGAGGACCCTGTGCTCAACTGAACCGAACAAACCAGGGACAAACGGAGGTGTAGGTGTGCAGAAGAGGGAGTAAGAGGAAGATTTCAGGCAGGAATCCCAGGGTGGCCTGTCACAGCAGTTAACTAGGACATCTGCTGTGCTGCCCTTTCTGGTGGCTGCTGCTGCCCTCACCAACAAGGCTGAAATCTTCATCAAGTGCACTGCCCCTGAATTCACCACAGCTCAACACACTGAGAGCTATACTTTCTGTCTGTGGAATAGCATTTTCAAAGCACTCCCCTTTATTACCATGGTGTCTGCTGTATCCTCAATATGCTTTTACTAAAATGTTTAATGAAACCCAAAACAATTAAATATCATTCTATCTTGAAATTTGGAAGAAGCAACACAGGTTCGTTCAGCCTGTCTGAACCCCCCCCCACACACACACACAAACTTACAGCTGAAGCCTTAAAGGCCTATCTTTAGGCTTCCATTAGTGACTCTACCCAAGTTGTACATTTCTGTGTCTGCCTTTGACTGAGTTGTCAGAATCCAATTCCTCAGTCTTTGCAAACAGCACTCCAAGTCAGTCTGCCATTGGTGATCCAGACCTGAGGAAAGCAAGCAGAAGGACTTTGGAGATGCCTCTCACCTCTAATGCTGTTGGCAATTTCCAGGTGCTCCCGCTATTTCAGAACAAGCATGCAAAGAGCTTTACTCTAAAGGAGACAAGCCACATGAACACAGGACGCGACTCCCCCTAATCTTCAGGGGCAATGACCTTCCTGGGAGACAGATGAGTGGGGCAGGGTTGGAAGAAGGACTACCAACAGCACTGAGCTCAGCCTGTATCACAGCACAATGGGTTCTTCAAGAAACCAGGGATCTCATCTTTTGACAAGCTATGCACTCACCTAAACCACATTATGTGCTGTGGTACATCCACATTGTATTTGTTGTATATATTTGTACTGTCTCCTTTTAATTTATTTGTTTATCCAGCACTAAGGATCAATCCCAGAGTCTAGTGCCTGCTAGGCAATCATTCTACAATTGACCTATACCCTGAGTCCTGTATTTATATTGTCACTGAATGAAGAATTGAAAAGGGATAAATAAAAGGACTGTTTCACCAAATGTAATGTGAGATTTCTTTATATCTTGATTCAAGCAAAATCAACAAGGAAGATATCATAATGAAACTCAAATGCCAAATGTCAGTTTTTCACATGTAGTACTTGTTTCATTGATTTTTCAGAATGACCTTTTTCTCTATAGACACAAGTTGATTGTCATCATGCAGGCCCAAGGCGGTGATGCTGGCTAGGAGTAACTGCTAATGCTTCTCCCAGGCAGGGGTAGACACACAAACACACAGGAATAGCCAGCAGAGGCAGCTGGAGCTCCAGTAACATGGGGACTGGAGACCCAGAAAGCCTTGGCGCAGACCTGGGCCTGCCACTGCTACTGAAGACAGAAACACAGGACTTGGGCAAGCCACTTGGCCCACTAAACCTGTTTTTTTTTTCTATGAAAAATGAGTAGCATCCCTCCAGTGGGAGCTCACACGATGCCACACAGACCCTTTAAAGTCCTGGAACATAGAAAGTGGTCAAGCACCAATAGTGAAGGTGGTGACCCAGAGCTGAGGAGGCAAAGCAGAAGGGCCCATAGCTCAGAGCCACTGCAGGCACAGCACTGCTGCTCTTCATGGAGCCCAGCTCTGGCCTGGATGGGAGCAGAATTGACCCTGCTGGAGGGTCAGAAATCTGTGACTGGGGCAGAATACTAGGAATGCTTATTAATAATAATAGTATGGGGGACCTAAACAAAGACGCTTATGGAACTTCCATCAGAAATTGGCAAACTCTTTCTATGAATGATCAGACAGATTTAGCCAGCTTTCCGAACGACAGATGTGTCCCTCACTTGAACTCTGCCACTGAAACATGAAAGCAAATGTGAGCCAGCGGTAAAAACCTAGGATTCTAATAAAGCCGTATTTCAAAAACCAGGCGGCAGGTTTGATTTGACCCATTCATGCAATAACACTGGGCAAAAAAGTGACTGTGAAAATAAGGATTAAGCTAATAGAAGACAAGAAAGAAAAAGATAACAGAGCAGAGTGTATCAATAGTTACACGATAGGCTTAAGTCAAACTTGAATCTAAAAGCACATTAAAACCATATTACTAGGGGCTGGGGATTTAGCTCAGCGGCATAAGCACTGCCTTGCAAGCAGGCAGCCGTGAGTGCGATCCCCGATACCGGTAAAAAGACAAAAAAAAAAAAAAAAAAAAAATATATATATATATATATATATATTACTAATTGAAAAGCAGAGATTATCACAATGGATCAAAAAAAAATCCCTGCAATATCAACTATTCTGCAACATGAAATACTTTATGTATAACTTTTACCTTAAACCCTTTATTTGAAACGGTTTTAGTGTTAGGCAATGCTACAATGAGCTTCTACCTTCTAACAGTACCTGTGACCACAAATAAAACACAAAGAACTCAAAGTAAGACACTGATATTTGCACAGTATTACTACATAAAAGAATTCATGAGGGTTTCATCCGTTCGCCCATTAATGACCTTTTCCTATTCCAGAGCCAACCTGGGACCCCACATATCTTTACTTGTGAGGTTCCCTAAACCTCCCCCAAGCGCTAACTCTTCTTTCCTCATCTTTGGATAGAGCATCTGTCGGTCTGTTTGCTTTCTTTAGAACTGTGATGGATGGGCCACAGGACCTCTGTGACCTAAAGAAAGAGCACTGGGTGATAATGCTCAAGTGTGCAGCCAGAGAGCAGGGGTCGCGCGGCTCTGGAGTTACCTTCTCCATGTCGCTCGGGATGAGTTCCTCGGAGGAAGCCTGGAGGGCATCGGCTCGCTGAAAAGTCCACCGCAGCGTAACACGCTTGTGTCAGCACCATCTCGAAAGAAAAGAACGCAAAGCCACCTAGAAATCTTTTTTGTGCACACAGCAAATATACTTGTTCAGTCTTTCTTTGTCGGTCTTCCACGTGGCCCTTGCCTGCACCATCTGATGATGTCACTGTCTGCGCCGTCGCGACGCAACAGCTCCAGTGCGCCTGCGCAGCGTCATTATTCTGGGGGTCTTAGGGGGCGGGACCACTGCTGCTGTCTTCCCAGATTTAGACTCTGGGTGGCGCCAGCCTCTCACACATCTCTTGTTGAGACCCCAAACTTAAGTGAATAGGAAAAATGTGGCACAGATACACAGTTCCAGATGTGGCTCTGGTGGCACAAGTCTGGGATCCCAGCCATTGCGGGGGCTGTGAAGCAGGAACAGAGTATGCTTGAGGCTGGCCTGGACTATATAATGAGACACTCTGAAAACACAAACAAACAACCAGCACATACACAAACCTGAACAAAAACATGCTGCAGTGGAGGCAGGTGTGGGGCGTGGGAGAGCGCCAGGGGTTCAGCACTTGCATAGCATAAGCAAGGCTTTGCTTTTCATCTTCAGTGCTACTAAAACACAAACAAAATAACTAGCAAAAGGCAATGAGATTTATCACAGTGGACTGCAAATCTGTCTCTATATTGTGTACTTTGTCATTTCTAACTTGAGTGCTTCTGAGGAGGCCCCAGAGTGTGTGTACATCAGAAGAATGAAGTGTGGTAAACTCTCCCCTCTCCCTGAGTTTTTGCATGATGTACATGCAGCTGAATAAGCCTGGACATTTAGCACAGAGAATGACTCCTCTTAATTCCTAAAGCTTGGATTTACTTGAATCCATGTTTGTTTCAAGGTGCAATGTATAGAAAGTAATTAAGTTAAATTCATTTGTAAAGCTAAAAGCACTTTTGTTTGCAAAAAAAATTTACTTAATAGGCTTTTCTCTTTTTCTAAACACTCAGTATTTTCTTAGCAGCCAGGTTATCCTGTGTGAGCTACTGGCAGCCTTTTCAGCACCAGCCCACACAAGGCACACAACCATGTTCTCATGCTGCCCACACAGAGGGGTCAAACACCTGGATTTCAATTTTAGGATAGAGGGAAGCACAAAGAGAAAATACCACAAGTTTGCAGAGCACAACATTAGGCTACACAAGTGAATTAAGGGTGATACATAGTGGTTTCATATTTTCACAGACAACACCAAATGTTAGAAGAGAAATGATGAAAGCAATCAAAATTCAGTAGTTTTTCTGGAAAACTGATTTTCAATTTAAGATCCACACTTACCTAAATTGTCTACCCAACTGAACAAAAGGCACTTTCCTGCACAAAATGGTTTTGTGATTCCCTGTCTTGTGTGTTTCATATCTCAGGAAACACTGAAGTCTATGTTCTACTGAAGCTAAAAGTGCACCAGGGAGAAGAAGCACCACCAAGAGCAGGTCCAACACACAAAGAGGGCAAGAAAACCCAAGGACAATTCCTGCTTCCCAGTCATAGAGAACAAACAGGTGAAATCTGAAAGATTCAAAAACTGTCTGTGAGTGTATTAAGTCAGAGTTAACTAGAGAAACAGATATAACACAAGATACAAAACAGTACAAGAAATTACAAGAATGGCTTACAATGATCAGCCACAATGTTGAATAAGGAAGCATGCAAAAGATGTCTGCACAGCAGAAGTTTAAGGGTCTAGCCCATGGGCTGGAGCTTACTGCTGTGTCCCATGCAAGTCTGTATCAGGAGGCTGATGCCTCTATGATGGAGCACAGAAGAATCAACGATGGAGGTGGAAGACTCTATGACAAGGCTGGGGAGTCCTAGGCTGAGCCAAACAGAAGCCGGGAGATGATGATGTCTGAGCTGAAAAATGAAGACTGGAACTCCTCCTAGAAGCAGCAACCAGTCTCCCCTCATTTGCCTATTTTATGTATGCAGGATGTTATAAACTAGGGACCCTGACCCCTGTTGAATCACATAGTTATTAAGTTCCAAACTTTTCAAATGCTGAAACACTTGTGAAGCCTCTAGACTTCTCAAGTTGACATTGAGTATAAACCATAACAAGTGAGGAAGGTGGAGCGCCAGGTATCTGCAGTCGCCCACAAATGTTATTGGATCATATGTTACATCAGTGACCATCAGGGCCTTCAAAGGTGCTAATGATCAGCTGAGACCAAACACTGGGGCCATAAGTTATGACAACCCATATGACAAGAATGTCGATGCTGAAGTTGGATATTTTGTTTTCCTTGATCTTCACAGGCTATATATGACAATAAAATGCAAAGCTGGATTGCTTCCTTTTTTCTGAGAAGCACAGTCCCTGCTTCTTCTGAGAGAAGAATAAGTCAGGCATATCCTTGACTCCTGCAGAGCACCAAGTGTCCAGTGTGTGTACATAGAATGGATGTCAAAGTATCAAGTCTGCAGAAACTGGAAACAGTCACTGTGAGGACTTAGCTCAACTGTCACCTGCCAGTGAAGGCTTCCTTGGCTAGGACACCTTTAATGACAGCCACTCCCACCCCAGTTCTCCCTCAGCCTGGCCCACCTCAGTGCACTCATGGATCCAGTTCCTGTCTGCAGTTGTCAGTTTCTGCTGTGGCTCCCATCTCTCCTAGAGAAAACATCCTCAACCCGGCCCCAAACCCTGTGAGATCTGGCTGGGGCCCTTGCCACCCCAGTCTTCCCATGAATCCCACCCTGAGCACAGTGCTGAGGGCTCCACTTCCCCTGCTGTTTCACCTCTGGCCACAAACTGGCCTGTCCTCTTCCCAGAACACATAGGGAGAGGCTGGCAATTACACATGGGGACACTGAGGATACACAGTACATTTTTGCTTCTGCAAAAATGAGTGCTATCCCAAAGGAGAGAGCTAACAAGGTCTCTCCAGGTGCCCAGCACACAGGCTACAGCTACAGCTAAACAACCACAGGGGCACAGAACCTCCCCGGTATCCCCCACTGTGCATGTGGGTCCAAGTCAGGACCTCCTCACTACCTACTGGGTAGATTCCCACTCACTTACTAATTCATTCACTATCTATTTACCTCCTATTGGGGCTGGTTCCTAGCCAGTGACGACTCAGGGGCTAAAGTTCTTCACAAGTCACCTCATCTGTGCATTTTCCACAGCTTCCACCTGCAAAGAGGGCAAAATTAAATTACATGGGGGCCCTCAGTTGCTGGGTATGCTGGTGCCCACCTGGAATCCCAGCACTCGGGAGGCTGAGGTAGGGAGAGTTTAAGGCCAGCCTGGGCTGCATAGTGAGACCCTGCCTTAAAAAATAAAAGATAAAATAAAAAGGAACCTCTCAGTTTTTTTAATCATTACAGTACTAAACTTCATAGCCTAATAACAGAGAAAACACATTTTCAGGTACACAGAGCAAAATATTTATGAAAACCAACTACATGCTAATGTACAAAAAAAGTGTAATAAATTCCATGCTGTCAAGTTCACACAAACATATTGTTTGCACTGTGCTGTAAAACTATAAATTAACTTGAAAGATGAAATATCCTCTCAGCCTGGATATGCTACTCAAGTCTAAATGACTGCCATGTCAAAATACTAATATTATCAAAAAATGCAGAATATGCCTAAAAGTTGTAATAGTGTACATTGCAATCCCTAGTTAATCACACACACAAAATAATAGCAAATGATAAGGAAAAATTGTTGAAATATGTGAAACTTTGGAAAACTTCATTCCATTAAATTTGAAATCCTAGAAGAAGTTGATAATAGACCAAAACGTCCCTGGGAGACAAAGGTCAAACAGCAGCATATTTCAGGAATACAAGAATGATTTATGAGAAGAAATCTATTGAAATTATCAATATGAAAAATCAAAACACAAAAGTCAATAGCATTATTGTACGCAAAAATGAATTCACTAGAAAATAAATTAAGAAAAAATACCATTGGCAGTAAATTCAAGAAAAATTTAACATGTATTTAATCTATGAAAGGAAGTAAAAGGCCTCTACAATCATAACCCCAATGCTATGAAAAAGAATCAAAGAGAACATCATAAAAAGGAAGGATATCCCCTGTTTTGGACAGGCAGAATGAATTTTGCTGAATTGTAAATATTACCGAAACTAATCTGTAGGTAATACAGTCGCAGACACACTGCATCTTCCACGGAACTAGTGAAACCATCTCACAAGTCAATCAAAACAGAAGAGACCTGGAGGAGTAAAAATAGTCCCAGACAGCAACTTCAAAGCAGGAGACAGCACAATCCAAGATTTCAAGTTACATTACAGAGCCACAGTGATTAAAAACAGCATGGAACTGGCACAAAACAGGACGCACCAAATCAGTGGGACCGAATGCAGGGAGCAGGGGTACCCCAGGCACATTCAGCCAGAAGCTTTGACCAAAAAGCTCAAAACCAGATTAACTCAGTGGAGGAAACAAGAGTAAATTCCATACAGTTGTGCCTTCTCCTGTATGAGTAACTAAGTCCAGGAATAAATACAATAAAATGGATAGAGGAAAGGAAACTACAAGGTAGTCTTCTAAAGAAGGAAAATTGGATGAAAGGAAGGTGAAAAGAATGGGGGGGGTCATTGAATTTAGGATGATAAAGATGTGTTAAATATATTTAAAAAATTTTCCCCAGAAGCTCATTATGACTTGTTACTAATGTGATGTCATACATACATTCCATACAATGCAGGGAAAAGGCATGAGTGAGGACAGGTTAGATTAGAATGTGTCCCCCAGATTCCTATTCTGGAGCTGATTTTCCAATGCAATAGTGTTAAGAGGAGAGGGCTTCCAGAGAAAGAGGTCTCATGGCTCCGATGAAGGTGTTCATGAAATAGTTTTGGGGAGTTGGTTTGCCTCCTTCCACTCCTTCTGCAGTGTTAACACACAGCCTTCCTCCTCCTACAGCACATAGCAAAAAGCCACCACCCAGGAAGTAGAGGACTGGGCCCCACCAAACTCAGAGCCTGCCAGGTCCTTGATTCTAGGGGTCTTCTGATTCTGAGCAGTAAAACTCTGTTTTGTATAAATCGCCAAGCTCACACAGTTTGTTACAGTAGCACTACCATCTTTATTTGTATTTAATGCTTTATTAGAGGTTCCTGCTAGTATCATATGGCTACAAACATAAGAACTGAGAA